GCTTCTTTTTCGCGATGGCGCGCGTGGCGTGTGTTGTTTACAATATTTCCCAAATCAGCTAGACTTTCACGTGACTACGCGCCTCGAAGTGGATCCGGTCTGTTAGAGCAAGACCGAAGCTGAAGCCGTTCAGGAAGCCACAAGGTCGCAGATACAGGTCCCGGATTGGGGGAAGAAGGAAAAAAACAAAATCTCATCACCCAGCTCTAGACATGCAGCGTCTCAACTGAAGAATCCCGAGGCTGCAAACTTGTCTTGCTTCTTCGTGATGATAGCCAACTTTGGGCCCGAGCCTGTTTCTCTTGTCCTTCGTTATCATGCCCACCCACTAACTACCACCTACCTTACGCTCTGCCGCTAGTCACAAGCCAACAAACACACAGATCCACGACCTCTTTCCAACCCTGACATCACTAAACCCGACTTACCCAACTTACCCAACGGTCTGGCATCCAAAGACGCCAGGGGACCCCCCAAGATTGTGCCGGGGGGATGCCTTTTTGGAGGTCTGCAAGCATCGTCTATTGGTTGAATTCTTCCATCTGCCTGCAGGGTCCCGCCCACGCGTCTGAAGTTTCCTGCAGCCCGAACCTCGCCAGACTCCAGACAGAGGAAAATATGGGCAAGACAACGAGGGAGATCAACACGCTCTGGAGACGTATTGGACAATCAAGTCTGGCGCACTGCGAGAATGCACAATGTGCGGGACTGATCCATATCCATCTCGTCTAAGCGTCCGCACCGCATCGTCCAACCAAGACCAGACGAGGCTTGCGCTCCTCCCTCTTACACGGGAATCCTCTAGGTTCTGGAGCACCCATCTCCCCTCCCCCAGGACGGCCTCACGCCTATTCGCCTCGTCCAAGATCCAGCTTGCCAGGCCCAACATGCAGTCACACACTCTGCAGTAGTCGCTGCAGTGCCAAAGGGGGCCCTTCCCCTTGGTCTCATAGCCACGACTCAACTGCCACTTGTTCACTCTAGACTCCATCGACACGCAGCAGAAGCCAGGAACGCTTCTTTTCTTTCCTTCTTTTTTCTTCCAACTCGTCATTCTCGGGCTGTACAAGATTATCTGCGTCTCGGACACGAGTGACCACATTGGCGAGCCGCCTGTCGGGCAGCGGGAAAAGGTGGGCTCACCATCAAAATAGAAAAGACGGCTGATCCATGGCCGATGGAGCCAGGCCACTAAACAAACGCGACAAGCCACAGCCGGGAACCAAAACAAAACAAAAACACCAAAACAAATACTTCGTCAACACAACCTCGAGGTACCTCGCCGCAGGTACCTTGCTCACACACTCTCTTTCTGTCTAGCAGTAGTGTACACCACTCGTCGTCACCACCGTCATGACCACCACACTGGCACACACAGGCCGACAGCCATCAACCTTGCCTCACCAAGTATTGCCTTCCCAGCTGTCCGGTCCGTTCATCATGCAGCATGCCTATAGTTCAATATTCCCAACATATCGACCAGGCTCTCCACAGTATCGCTCGCAGCTTCCGATCTCAATGGGGAAAGCAGCAAGGTCAGCGATTGATTGCGCCTGATATTACGATTTCATGCCTGTGACCGCGTCATCTCGCTTCACTGAAAGTCTGGAGAGAATGTGTGAGAGAGAGCACCGCAAGCTGCCCAAAGCACTCCTTGACAACCACTAGACTCCCAGAGATGCCAGATGGCATCGAAGAGAATCGAGGGCACGGTCGAGCTCGCCGGGCTAGCGAATCTGGGACAACCTGGAGCCTCCTCCCCGGCCCCTCGTCTGCCTCAAATCTCTTTTTTTCCTACTGCCCACCAGCCAACGTTGAAGCTCCTGGAACGTTTGGGAAAGGTCAAACACCTTGGTTCGCGGCAGCGGCTTTACAAGGTTTCCTCTGAGAAGAAACCGATGTTTCTCTCCATGCTTCTTTCTTGCTCTTCTCTGTGATCCAAACTAGAGCTCTTCAACGGGCCGCTTCTCAATAATAAAACGGGCGTACCGCGAAGAGAGTCAAGACCACGCACGCCTTTCTCATTCGGCCCACCACGCGGGCAAGTCAGTTGGACTAGGGCGGGGGAGGGGGGAAGTGCTGAGCTTGGATCCCCGTTCGAGCCTCGAAAGCTCGGACACTCTTTGACCTTCGGATGGAATTCTGGTCTCTGTCTTTCAGCAGACTCAGCCGACTCAGCAGACTCCCGCGCGTCGTTGGGACGGCGGCGGCAACTCTGGAACAGAGACGGGAAGGGAGGGTGTTTTTTTCCCCCCAAGATACGGGAACCACTCGCCGCTGCAGCACAAGGGGGACGGCAATGCAAGTTCAAGAAGAGTTCGAAGTAAGGGGAAGGTGTCAGCCAAGGTAACACCAATATTCCTCAGGAAATGGAACACAACAAGAACGAAGGAAAAGATGGGATGACTTTTTGAAATTGGGTGTAAGTGAGTGGACCAGCTCAGCTGGACGGTGAACCCCATCGGCATCCTTTCTGTGTGTCAAATCTCTGATACGATGCAGCATCGCAGATTGCGCAGCCGCGGCCCGCCATGGTAAAAGCAATGTCCTCGATTCTCGACAATGAACAACCGTAGGCTTCCGAATAGCCAGTTGGCGGCGCTGTACCTGTTTGGCGGCCGCCAAGCACTATGGGTAAAGATGACCAACCCACCCTGCCCTTACATAGTAGATCAAGCGGCTCCTCTTTTTGACAATCTGCAATCTGCGTGGACACTTTTTCGCGGAGCCAGACATCCGTACGGAGTATTCGAAGGCAAAGTACGATACTCCGTACAGATGGATACCTTGCCTTCTATCTAATCAAGCAAGCGATATCCATACAGTACCCGTCGTCGTCGTCGTCGTCGTCGTCGTCGTCTCCGCCAATCTCCTCCCCCGTCCGTCTCCAGATTAATCGGATCTCCCGTCCTTGTTTTGTTTGGAGTACCCGATTTGTTGACTTTCCCATCGTTTATTGATTTGCCGTCAACAACAATAAACTACCACCAAAAAATCTCCTATCGATACTGGAATTCCTCTCCCCCCTCCCCCTCCAAAGACCCTCTTCGGGCCCCAAAAGCCCCTCCCTTTTCCCCCCCTTCGCCTCCTTGGATCCTTCTGCAGCAACTGGCACAGCACAGACTCCCGAAGCAGAGCCAACAGCCAAATTGGGGCGGCATAGGCAGGAAGAAGGGAGGGGCAAAAGCTGCCCGCATCTGTGTCATCGTGTCAGACATGAGGCTTTCACGAATCATGGTACCCAAAATGGTCAAGACAGCAAGCACGTGGAAGAAGAAACGAACCTTTTCCCACTATGTATTCGATATCCGAATTACCAGCACCTTACCGCCGCAGCCCGTGTCCAATTAAAGAATACTTGGCAGTAAAACCTGGACAAAGAGGTAAAGTTCGGTGACCGAACTGCCGGGTAGCCTAGCAGAAGCCAACCATCGTTCGCCCCTCCGCCTATTCTCAGTTTCGCGCCCGGGGCTACTGTGGACCGACGACGGCGCCGCCACCCCGCGGACAAAACGTCCCGGATCACCCGTCTCATCCGCCTTGCTTCTTCAACCTCGCCTCCTCGTCACTTATATCTGTCTGTACGCCACATTGTCATATTGTCTCTTTATTTGGCCTTGTCTTGAACAGTCCTCGTCTCAGGTAGGCCTTTGTGCCAGGACAAGATTATTGCAAAAACTCGCCTTCCAACCTAGTAAACACGCACACACGGTAAGTATGGTAAGATGGGTAAAGAAGGTCCTCCAGCTTTGTGAACCAAAGGGATGACGGGGTTGGAAGAACAACATACCAAGAAACGCATCGACTCTTCCAGCCCGCCCTTCCCTCTGGTTTCCCCCCCGGTTTCCCCGGCTCTTCCCTGATTTCCTGCCCTGTTTTCTCAACAATGCCAGACCTCAACCCCGTGACCCCTTCCTTTCACAAGTCTCAAGTCCGATATATTGAATTTGACTCAAATCCCTTCGAGGCCCCCATCCACCCGTCCTCACTAGGCCCGTCCTACTGCGACCCAGAGACCCCGAAAAAGACGGGAAGAACCAATCTCGCTTCCAAAACATCAAGGGTCTCTCAGGGTCTTGCGGGGTCTCTTTGCAAGTTTACTATGTACGAGGCATCGACGATCCGGAACTGTTGTATGTTCCCCTCACTGGCATCCAATTCATCGTCATCGCCCCACACTTGGCGATGCCCAAAATCCAACATGTAAGTCCATTGGGGGATTGGGGCATGGGGCATTGGAGGGGGGAGAGAAAGTGGCTCTGAAGTGGGAAAGAGGGAGTTCAGAAGTTTGTATGTATCCCGTACCATCCGGCACGGGCTCGGCACTAGCGTAGAAAACATAACGTCACAGCAGGGCTGCTTCTCAGCAAGGCAGCAAGACCTGTCGATCACATCAACAGATCAACATCAACATTCACATTGCATCATGCAGACACGCAGCCAGCTACGCTAAAGGTGGTCTCCCGTCGGGCGGCCGGTAAACTTAAGTTTCTCTCACGATGTACCGGCACAAACAGAACTAGCAAGAAAGAAAAGAGGAAAACGTCATTGTCACACTTTACTTGTTTCAGACTTCTTCGTCATGCAATAGCTTTTGTGTGTGAAAGTGTGTGAAGTTTGGAGAGTAATTGGGCCATGAACCGCCCCTCAAACCTGGTTCATGGTTATTCAAGGTGTTCCCTTTGTTTGGGCTCACACTATAGACTACCTAGTAGGTATTTTCTCTTTTGACGTCGGGCTGCCTAAACCAAGTGGGTGAAAGGCCAACCTAAACCCCCGCCCGTCAAACCCCCAAAGAAACCAAAGACCCAACGCCTCGGAACTGAACCAACCCCAAATCATCATGTAGCTTGCGTCGCTCATCTGTTTCCCTCACCTCCAGCCTTGCCCCATCCCAGAAGCCTCGTAGGTTCGTATCCATAGGAGATACCTAAAGCTCGCTTTCCCTTGTCTGTCGAGAAAAGACGGGAAGGTGGTTCACTTGGAAGGCCCCGTTGACCCTGCCTGGGTATCAATTGTACAGAACAAAAACAAAGAACCCAAAAACCTGTCCAGACGTCATATGCTTCTACCGGTCATGGGTCTTATGTGATCAAAGAGGTCGATCGATCGATCGTCCATCTCGGCAGAGCATAGCTTACGACAGGTTCTTTCGGATCCATTCTGCCCAGGAGCAGAGGTCCTCCATCACCTCAAGCAACCTGCCCAAGTCCTGCGGTGTAAACTGCTTGCCGTTCCCCTTGCCAGCCTCCGCCGCCTCGCTACCGTCGACCGGCACGATGTTTTGTGACACGACATGTACCACTCCATTCTGCTGAATTTGCAGGTCCACGTTGGCGGTTGCGCCGCGGAAGGGAAAGACGACATGCAAACCAGCAGAGGGATGAACAGTCAGCACCACGTCGAGAGTAAGTTCCTGCTCGTTGTCGTCATAGCTCTTGGACATGAATCTCTCGTATTCGGCCTGCGTCGTTGTCGTATCACTCATTGTGATGTTTTCATGAACCTCGGGTAAAGCCTCGCCAGAGATGTCAGACCCGAAGCTTCTCTCCAACAACGTTGAGATCAGCGCATACTGGCGAAGGATGGGCAGCATTGCCACCAGCTGCCGTGGGTGCGAGAACGAAAGTTCGGTGACTGTTTGTCCATACACTGGTTTGTAGATAAGCAGCGTGTTCTTGTGTTTCCGGGATGAGACGGTGCTATCATTGCTCGGAATCGGAACTCTCCTCTTGCAAGAGATGACTCTAAGCTCGCTTGCATCATGGTGACTTCCTTCGGGTATTGGGAATGATATGCTATCAAACGTGTAGGTCGGCAGAGGCATGGGCTGGGCCTGAGCTCCTGTGAGGGTGTGTAGTGTGTTCCATGCCGACTGCGGCACGATGACTGAGGGGGTGAGTGTCGCGACAAACTTGACGTTCGGGTATTTGTGCGTCGTGCCATCCGCCTGCACCACGTCGATGCCCGAATCCTTATTGTCGTCCGTCTGTGGCAGCGTTGTAGGCTCCGGTTCCAGCCAGTCAAGAGCCGGCCCAGAAGCTGCAACGAGAAGATCCTCGGGTCCAGGCTCGGTCTTCTCGACCTTTTGAGAAATCCAATTCTCAGACACCCTGACGGGAGGGAACATTTCACCATCCAACGCCTTGCAGCCTATGAGAATCGACCAGGCCTTCTCCATGTTCTCGCAGTAGCGCGTCGTCTCTGGTGCTTTGGGGATGACATGGCGTCTCTCCGTCCAATACTCGATGCTTAATCCCACCATACCCCTCGAATGCATCCTCGGACGACCGCTCTTAGTGCACATGGCAGTCGTCTCGAGGAAACGTTCGGGCTTGCCGCTCATGGCAGGATCTTCCCGCAGCTTCGACATTTCCCACTTGTGGAGTCTTTCAAGACTCTCGAAGATGCCAGCTAGAGCCTCTTGACAGTCAACTCCCGGAATGACACTCAGCTTGTCGAGGGTTGCCAGGCGTTCAAGGTTAGTGGAGAATGCTTTCAACGTCTTGGTTAACGGGCTCTGGTCAGTGCGAAGTTGCAGATCCTCAAGCAGGATGTTGCCAGCTTGATCCTTATGCCTTGTGACAACCGGTCCTGATTCTGGAAAGCCCAGCGAGACATTCTCCACGATATTGTTGTTCAGCTCGATATCAATGGTCAAAGCCTGTCCGGCGATGACGAGCATTTTTGTTTTCCTGCCGTCGGGCGACCGATGCTCATCCCACATGCTAGTAAGACCAGTTCGGAGCGTAAGTCGTTCGAGGCCTGCTTCGCTGACTCGACCTGTTGCCTTCTGCAACTGCATTGTTAGTTCCCATTGCGACCACGATCGAAAAACAGCCGTGACTTACGCTGAGAATTTCAATGACAGTATCAAACCTCTTGAGTTTGTCGTCCTCGCTGCCCAATGCTCCCAAACCTGCGAAGCCCGCGATCCCGGCATGGTCGAGCCCCATGTCCAGTCCACCACTGATCCCAAGCGCGCCCATAGCAGCTGCTGCGGACGGACTGTCGAAGTTTAGAGCGCCATTAGCTGGGTGGCCCATCAAAGTGGTCGAGGTCGCCGGCGATTTCTTAAACTGCTGAGGCGACGACTTAGGTCCCCTCGGCGAGAAAGCCGTATGCGCTTGAGATGCTGAAAATGGCGTGGACACCGGCGGGGTCGCTGCTGTAAGTTGCGAAGGGGTTCTACCCTGTTGAGAAGCCGCATGCTTCATCTGCGTCGGAGTAGCCATATTGTAATTCGGTCTGTTGGTCGGTCGATTTCAATCGTGATTGAAGGTAGGAGTCGTAGAAGGACAGCGTCGTGCTGTAATACTATGTCTGCACCTTTTCGGCCATCAATTGAATATTCAATGCCAATACTTCGTCTCCAAGTTCCGTTTTTGTTCAAGTTAATGGTAGTCCCGCCAAACAGAAGTGGGAGTTGAAGATAGGATTGTCGCTCCAAGCTCGAGTTGAGCCGCAGAATAATGCTTGAGCTGGTCTACCAGATGTAGGTAGGTAGCTCGAGCGAGGTGCCTACCCCCGACGCGGGCGGTCAAGGTGTCCTAGCGCTAGTGGAGGGGCATGCGGTCCGGATTTTAGCCGACGGGACCCCTGAGGTACCTGAGCCTTCCCGTCTTATATCGGTCATTCACCACCAACATCTGGGCTAAGGTAGATGGAAGTAGGGCAATTGTCAATCATTCAGTTTATATACATTTGCTTTGATATCTTTGCGGTCTCTTTAATTCGCATGAGCATTGATCTCCAATTCTGCTCCCTCAAGCCTGGAACGGGAATTAGATCGTCTCCTAGTTGAGGGAGTCTCATTCCTTTTCATCGCACTTCATCCCGTTCCCAATTCCAACAGTGAATCCACAGCGGAAAGTTGAGAACTCGGGACATTCAAGTCAATCGATGTCGAGACAAATTCTATACCCGTGAGACCGACAGACATCAACACTAGTCTAAGCCATGACACGATCTTTAGTCAAACTCGTTCTCATACTTGCCTTGAAGCACTCCGCTCGTCCAACTAGCATGGAGGAGAAATTGCCTTCGACATATCACAACCAGATCACGGTTTACAAGGCCTGTGGTTTTGAAGCAACAAAAGCTTTTTTTATTTCCATTCGTCAAGTCATTACCTAAGGAGACAGTTTCCAACACACGTCTCACACTTTTGTGAAAGGAACAATCGTCATAAGGTCATCATCCTAATCCCCCGTCTCCGACACATTTCAGCGCCAGATGATCCTCCACTGTATTCGAAACCAAAGCAAAGGAAAAGATGTTGGTGATGTTGATGGTCCGTCCTCCGATGTGGTGTTCGCATGCCGCATTACCCGAGTGTCATAACGGGCCAGCAGGCCGTAGTTTCCAACCCCACCGTGCTCTTTCGTGTATGTTGTCCCGAAGATCCGGAAAAAGAAGAAAGGTCGAGTCTTTAGGATTACGTCCTCCCCCATGCAAGGCGTCATTCATCAGCATCTACAGCCGTGATGGGCGTTTAAAAAACAGGGAATGAGAAGTCGTCAGCTCGTCAGCGTCGTCTCCAATGGGTCCTCGATGCCGAAAAGTCGTCTTGCGAATAAAAAGACAAATAAGAAAATTGGTGTGCAAAGAATGTCAAGAGGCCTCGCGCTCGAGACTTCAGGATCATAATCAGTTTATCATTATGCCTCAAACCAAGTGTGGCCACAACGCCCACCAATGAAGTGACTGAGGTTCAGGGCTGATAGAGTATGGCCGAGCTCACGATTGTCGCCGCCACTACCTTCCCTGCTGCTGTTGAGCCATAACAGGAGGAGCGCGAGCCATGGTGTCATACGTGGGAACGGCCGAGTTCATGAGCGTCTTTCTGCGCTTCATGTCCATGCCGCCACCGCTCAACGGACGCTGCAGGTCGTCGTCATCATCACGACCACGCTTGATGCCACTCGAGGCACCGTTCATCTGTGAGGGGTACCCGTTGGGCATTGAGTTCATGTCGGACTGGGGCTGGTAAACATTGTTACCACCCGCAGCGGCAGAATTGCGGTCGGTGATTACATTAAAGAGGTTGCTTGAGGATTGCTGAGCGACACGCGGAGGTGTGCTGTAGCCGGCCTGCTGGGAGTAGTAGGGCTGAGGTGCAGCGGCGGTGCGGGGAGTAGCGCGACCGGATGCAGGAGGGTGGCTGGGCGAGCCCGTCATCTCAGGCGACAGGTGTTGGTGTTCGGTGGGAAGGGATCCAACGGCGGGAGCGGAGTAGTTATACGATCCACGATTGGCATCATAGGCGCCGCTGTCGTGGGTGTACTCGGCGTCGTGCTCGTGGTCTGCCTCTTCCTCACCGGCAGGCTGAGGAGCATTGGAGTCAGGATGCATGATGCCGTTTGAGGGCTTCTGATCCTGGGAGGCGCTCGTTGCAGCGGGCCGTGCGGACGGAGGACCCATATCGCTCTTAGCGTATGGGTCATTCTGGCCGTACACGGAGCGATCTTGCGAGCCCTGGCTGGTTTGGTAAGGGGACTGCTGAGAAGACTGGTTGTACATGGCCCTCGAGCTGTCGTATTGCTGTGTGCCGGTTTGATAGGGCTGCATGTTTTGAATGGTGGAGCCGGGCGGTGTGGAGGCAGGAGTTGCCGGCATGGAACGGGCATTGCTGAGACCAGTATCAATAGACATGGGGTTCTGGGGCTGCGCGTTGGCCATTCCTTGGGATTGAGCCCACTGGAATCCGTTGTCTGAGGCGCCCATGCTGCCACCCATCACGCTAGAAGCGCTAGTCGGGGGAGTAGGAAACGTGTGGGCGCGGTCGAGGGTGGGACGGCCCATGTTGGCATGGGACGGCAGAGGTTGCTGAGGTCCAGGCAATCCCATAGAGTGGTGATGGTGCTGTTGAATAGACGGCAGCCCAGGGGCGCCGTTCTGGGGAGCACCGCGCATCTGGCTCTGTTCTGCCTTGCGGCGTTCAGCAGCAGCCATGACTTGGTTGGTGCGAGTTTGGTTCGTGGGGTGGTAGAGCAAAGCGCCAATGTTGTGGACGAAGAGGGGATAGAGCAGTTCGGTGATCTTCTCCTTGTTTGCAAAGTCCAAAGCTCTCTCAAAAGGGATCCTGTTATTTTTTTCCTCGTTAGACATAGCCCGACCCGATTCCGTCTTGGGGCACATGAAACTCACCAGACACCCTTGAGATGCATAGGGCCAATCTTGACGACATGTCTGACTTTCTCGCTCTTGAGAATTCCATCGCGGCGACCACGGGTCATTCCCGCGACATTCAACAGTTTGGTGCCATTGATCATGTGATTGTCTAGCGTGAATGTTAGCATGCTTCGGCGACCATTGTATATGCCAATCGAACTTACCCTCGCGGCGCGCGACACAGATGCCTCGTGCCTCAACCTGGAAGCACAAGCTGCCTTCGTCCTCCCACAAAGTGGCTGTGACTCTGGGTTTCATACCGGGCGGAGCGACTTGGCCGGTGGTGTCAAACCCCTGAAAACCTCCAGGGTTGACACCCGGGAGAGGCAGAACGTTCTGTCCACCCATTCCGTTGTTCACAGGAGCGCTTTGAGGCGAAGTCAAGCCATTGGCATAACCGTACGGCTGACCGTACTGAGTCTGCTGCTGATATTGAGGCAGATGGCTTGGCTGTAACGGCGGTGGCTGGGAGTGGTAAGACATTGCGCCGGAGGTCACGGTCTGGGGCGGTGGCGCTTGACCGGCAGAAATATGTTGCTGATAGTACATGTCTGCGGCAGGTTGATTCATGGCGGGGTAGTGCTCGTAACCACCAATTGGCTGACCTGAAGATCCAGGAATCGCCGCGTTGATGGGAAAGGTGGGAGAAGGTGTCTTGGGTCCGTGGGAGGATGCGGCCGACGTGAAGGACGACTGCGAACCTGCGTGAGAGCTTGAAGCGGAGCCGATGGAGCTGACCCGGGGTGACGAGGTACCCGATGAGTACGCCTGATGCAGGTTGGGCAATGGAAGAGACGGCACTCTCTCGCTGTTCATGTACGACGGCCTGTGAGCCGGGTAAGCGTTGTAATACGACACGTCGGTCGGTCCCCGGGTTTGCACTGAAGAAATCGACGGTAAATCCAGCTTCACGGTTGTTGCCCCGAAGGTTCTACCACCAAACACCAAAGGTCAGTGAAGTCCGGGTCGCCTAGCGAGCCTCGGAACTACGACAGCAGCAAGATCTTAGACGTGCGGAAAGAGAAGATAATTCTCTTTCGAGGAGTCTTGTCGTGGTACCGGATTGGATATGCAAAGAAGCTTGGAGCAAGGGCAATTGGCGGCAGCGGACGAGTCTCGGCGGCGCAAAGACTGCAGTTGCTTCCAGCGGTGACGGTGGTACAGAGTATGAACGGAACAATCCGTACAACACAACGATTCTTTTGAAAAAAAAGAAACAGATCAGGACGGTCGTGGTCGTCGTAAGCAGTCGTTAAATATCAGGAGATTCTATCTTCGTAGCATCCGAGGTTTGATGGAGATGGCGGCGGCGGGTTGGTAGCTGCGGTGTCTTGTAGAATTGGCGGTCGTAAGCCGAAGGGTGCAGGCTGACTGATGGTGAAGACGTTTTGTCTAGGTGGCAGAAGAGGAGACTTGTGTTGACTCTCTCGGGATCGCAATGCGGGTTGCACGAAAGGAGCCGAGGACGGTGACGATGCGAAGCGAGGGAATGCCCTTTTTCTTCTGAAATCGGGGCTGAGTAACAAGCGGTGGAGGGCCGTTTGTATGGAGGTCTCTATTCAGGCAGGTACCAGACACAGCACACAAACACTCGCGGAGAGCAGGTGGATCGTCTTGGTCTTCCTTGATCTTTGCTTCTCTTTTTTTTTCTTCGTCGAGCTCACCCAACTCTTCTAATGCAGGTACATTAGCTAGGAGTTTGGCGTATATAGGATGGGGGCGGGTGTGCAGTAGGAGGTGCAGCAGAGGAATGAGAAGGGTAGTTGGAGGTTAGGCGGGTTGAGGTGAGGAGGTGGAAGAAGAGGGTTGAAGAGGTATTGGAAGTGTAGAAGAAGTTCTGACTTACCGTCCTCGCCTCTTTGGCTATCCTGAGTGGAATATTGGAGGTGGTTGGTGGAGTCGTGAGAGGTAGAAAGAAAAGAAAGAAGACGGGCGTGGGAAGGTTTTGTTTTCGGTGGTGAGAAAAGAAGAGGAGGCAGGTCGAAGTCCATCCATCCAAAATCCACACCACACACGCCCTCCGGCCCATGTCCACGCCCACCCCGGCCGGCGCAAGTGCAAGGTGCAGGTGCGGGTTGAGGATTGAGGGTTGAGGTTGAAGGTACCTTACTGGGGTACTACGGTATCCGCACTTTGGTCGATGCTGGTGTGGTACGGCGGTAGCGGTACGGACATGGCAGAGCTCAAGAGCATGGGGCAGGGTCCATGGGGCACCGAGAGGTCGAAGCAGAGCAAGCGCAGACTCCAGGACCCAGAGACTCAGAGCGAGAGGTGCAGAGAGGCGGAGAGGCAGAAGGGCTAGGTAGGTACCGGTAGGCAATAATTCGCAGGTAGGTACTTACTGTGTGTAAAAGAGCGGTAGGGTTCTCTCTCTCTCTCTTTTTTTTGCCCGCTCGCTTGCTTTCTTTTGGTCCATGTGTCTGTCTACTGTGAACTGTCTGGCCCGTACTCCGTACCCTACTTGCGTACGGAGCCAGGTAGCGCGGCGCTGTGCTGGGAAGGCAAGTATAGCGGCGAGGACTGAGGTATCTCACGGGCAAAAGATACGGACTCTGGTAGCGGCGTTCGACAAGGTAGGTGGGCTTGGGTTGAGAAATGGCACAGGCCAAGGGCATGCCCCCCCTCCCCGGAGGAGCTCAGAGAGTGGTGGGTTTGGCCGTTCAGTGCTGCTGCTAAGTGGACAGTCCGGCCGACCGGGGGTCGAAGATGAGGGGGTCCTTGGGGGAGGGTGAAGGACGAGCAACTGGAGGGCGAGGATAAGGCCGAAAGTACCGTGGTACGGAGACGGGGGGGTCTCTACCAAATGGGGTGGATGGGGGGGGGGGCCAGGATTGAATGGGATGCTAGATGGGAGGAGAAGAGGAGAAGGAGGGGAGGATGAAGAGCGGAGAAGGGGGGGGGGTGTGCGAGAAGGAAGAGAAAAACCGAGATAGAACGACGACTGGCGGAAAAGATACGTACCCGGTTTTTTCCCTTCCCACCCGGTAAGGTAAGGTAAAGTATCGGCGGACAGATGAGCGAAACTTGAGGTGCGCGAAGTATCCCGGTACTTCGGTCGTCGACGACGAAGCCACACTCACTGAACACTCACTGACACGCAAACGCACTCTCATCCACATCCACGGCACACAGAGAGACACATACAGCCAAGGGCCAACGCACACGCGCTCCAAAGTCCAAAGGAGCAAGCAGACCAGAGCAGACCAGAGCAGAATCATGGACCCTACTACCCAAGGAGCCTTCCCTTGCCTACTGTGTATGTGCATTCGCACTCGATTGCATGGAGCTGGGAGCTCAACCTCGACCCGTCTCTGAACCAAGGTAAGATACGGACGTACTGTGTTGTCTGTGTTTCTTGTCTTGACACCCAACCATCGTCTGCTCCTTCAACTACGTTTATTTTTCTTTTGCTTCAATGTCTATTTCGCAACGTCTGTCTAAGGTACGGAGTAGGTCGATGGCATGGGACGTGCACTTCAGGATGCAATGTAGCCGGTACCGACGACTCCCTCGGGGTCTCGTGTACGCAGCGTGGCCCTGGCCCTTCCTCTGCTCGCTCTCACGGCTTGTAATCGGTACACTATTTTTTTTTTTTTTGCTGTTTATCTTTTCTTTTTCCCAACTCCGAGTCCCAGGTGTGGGCTCTGTTTCTCGTATGTGGACGGAACGTAACTGATAATGTTCCCCCAGTCTGTCGCCTTGTCCTCAGCTTCTAGATGGAGCGAACGAGAAGAAGCCTCAGGGAGAAGTGGGGATGTTGACTCGTACGGAGCACCTTGTGTTCACAAGTGCCTAACGACTCCGCTCTCTTCCTCTTTCTCTTCCAACAAGCCGTACGGGGTACGGATACAGCGTGCGGTGCCGGTACGCTTACTGCGTCTTGCCCTGTCTTGCGTTCCTCTCTATCCATGTGGGAATGCGAACCTCAACAGCACATCCATCACCTCACCTCACATTGCCTTTCCGTACCTTGCCTTAGCTGGCAGCGGGCCTTTTTACTCTGCTTCTGCGTCCGCACCTCGAAACCTGCTCCTCCCTCCAAGTACCAGCCCCAAGCTCCAAGCTCCATCTCTCACTCTGACTCTCCCTGTCAGTTTGATCCGTGGCTGCGTCGGTAAGCGACTCGACCGCCGGCACTCGCCTCTCTTTTTCGTCTCTTCTTCGGCCTTGACCATTGGGTCGGGCTGGGGCGCAGAGAGTAGGTATTCTCAGCCAGCTACCCGAGCCCTGGAAGGGTGGTACGGCCAGGCTAAGCTAACCGTCGCCGTTCGGTGGGTGTAGGGTGGTCAAAATGGAAGGAAAGGGCAGCGACAAGAATCGAGAAGGGGGGCGTGCCACGGGAGCAATGGTGTCGAGGACCTCGTTGAACGTGGGCTTCGTTGTCGTTTCCCGGGGTCTAGTGTCGTTGCTTGAGGGGCGTGGGTAGAGTAGGGTAACACCAGGAAGAGAGGGGTCTGTTGTCCTTGACCAGGGTGGCCCATGGCCTGAGTTCAAGCCCCAGTCTGTCGCGGTCGGTCTGTCGGCCTTTCAGAAGGAATATTCAACACACCGGGCCTACACACTCTGAAGCGGACGGACAACGTGGAGGAGCAGGCGTAAGGGCAATGATGGATTCCCATCTAGACAATGTCCAGACTACGCAAGTAAACGCAGTTCAACGCAATCAAGCAGGCCACTGTAGATAATGCCAGGGCCTTGCATTGGCATGGCAGCCCGCCAGGCCTAGGGCCCACCCCAAGTCCAAGAGCTCTCACGAGACGAGGTACCAATACCTGTGCGAACATCTTACCTCACCCGACCGCAACTGCGACTGAGCAGAATGTGGGCGTGGACGTTGGCTGCTCTGTGCCAAACAACCTCGACCGACCCTACTGTTCCCGCGCTACGGATCCATGGGACCAGAGCAACTTATCCCCCGGCGAACTGAGAGCAAGGAGCACTGGATGGACGGTGTGTAACTTGCACAAGCATCGAAACGAGATCAGGCACAAGCTGTATCTCGCTTGAATCCAGTATCACTATCCCGACGGGACGTCGACTGAGCCTGGCCTTGTGCCGGGACTAGGGAGATGAGAGACGAGCCTCGACAGAAATGTGAAGAAGTGGAGTGGGTCCGATCTTGAGCCCTTGAATCTGTGTGCCAGGCTCACATAGTCCAAAGAGTGCATATCAAAATGATCATTCCAAGTCCAAGTGACGTCGACCAGAGACGGATGGCGGTTCTCATGTCTCTGGGCCGTCGCCATTGCCCCGATACTTGTGTTGCTTCGTCTTTTCTTTCTCGTCCTTTTGTGATTTGAAGAGTGGCGTCTCGAGTTTCTCTCTGCACAAACGCACAGAGCATGGCAAGTCAAGAAACTGTCAGCGTTTGTTTGGAAACCCAAGTTCAAGGCCTTCAGTTTCTAGGGGACCGATCTGAAGATCCAAAAGCACTGGTCGCTTTTGTCCGCTGGTCAACTTGTCTCATCGATGTGTATCCTGTACTCCGTAGTTGATTTCTCTCCGTGGCGATGCTGGCTGTTTTCGAATCGTTCTTGAACCCCAGCACAGCCCCGGGCATGTGGACGGAGGTCGTCGGTTCGTTCCAAGTCTCCAGGGGCGCTGTGACCACTCTCAAAGTCTTGCCAGTCACTCAGCGCACCGCCGCCAGAGCCCCACAACTCGTCAGTGTCGTCTTGTTCGAGACATCGATAGTTGAGTGCGGACACCTAGACCTCAAGTCCCAGACCTAGGCTTTGGTGCCATCCATTTCCTCAACAACGACCAAGACAGGCTATAATTCATATCACTCGGACCAAATGGCCAAACCAAGATGATAGAGGCTGCAGTAAAGTCCGGAATATTAGAAAGGCGACCCGAGCGGCTCAGCAAATGGAGATAGTGGCCGCAGCGGCAGCAGCGGTCGATAACATTGTAACAAGGCGGGCTTAGTGCTGGTTGACACAGTATCCCGGCCGTGCTCCTCAATCCATCCATTCTACCTGCCTACCCTTAGGCCTCGGACTTGGCGTTGCCTTTTGTACTCTCCTTGACCCATTGGCCGTGTCATTGTTGTGACCTTTGTTGTTCGACCGAACCTCGAAAGCCGTCGGGCAGACAGTGGACTGTGCGTTTGGATGTTGGATGTTTCCGCCGCAGCTACCAATGAAGCACGGCATCTCCAGGGCCTGTTTTGTCCCGGACTTGAGTTCCGTCGCAATGTACTGCCGTTCCAACAAATGTGTCATGTCATCCGGTCGGCGCATGTAGGGTTCGGGTGTCCATTGCTTCGAGGGAAAAGTTTATCGTACCCGACACCAAGGTACAGTCCATGTGCCATTGGCGGCGGCCAAGGCCATCATCTCAGAGCGGCGCAGTTTCTCCATGGTGAGGTGAGGTGAGGTAGTGTAGCAAGCGGCTATTGCTCAAAGGCCCGGTATCAAAGGTCAACAAGACAAGAGCCTCAATCAACAATGGCATCACTACCGGTAGAAGCACCGTTGCAAGTCTAGGACCCGAGGCCAGGGATAAAAAAAAGACGAGGGCGAGCGGCGAAGGAAGAACAAGAAGAAGCAAGCCGATAGCACATCGTCGTCTTCTCGACGCTTCTGATGGACTCCAAGCAACGCCGTCGATTTAGCGCAGCGCGCAGCGAACCAGGAGACAGAGAAAGGGGGCGTTCGCTGTCGATTGCCGAGCCTACACTACTAGTACTGGTAAGAGTAAGGTAGAAACGACTCTGGGCCGGCTTGGGGTTATCTGACCATGCCGTAGTTGGTCCTCCCGTACCCCTCGTCTGTTTAGACCAAGGGTTAAGGGTTGGCTTGCCGCTTGATGCATCTCTGATCTTAGTGCGCTGGGCTGGCTGGGGGGTTCCCGACAATGATGCTCGAGAGCACAGACATTGCTGCACTGTGCGGCAGAGGGCCATGCGTATGTCAAAAGGCAGATCTTGTAACGCTATCTTGGCTGACCCTGCTGTTGTCGTCTCTCTCCATGTACGTATTCATACGGAGTATCCGTACTGATGCTGACTCCCCACAGGTCTGTCATCGTTGTCGCCGGCCTGCCGACTGGGTAGGGAGAGAATCAGGCTGGCTGGCTGGTCTGATCAGGTCTGGGTCAGCGGATTCTGTCGTGTCTTGCCTTGCCTTGCCTTGCCTTGCGTTTCCACATCTCGCAGGAAACCCGCTTTACTCATCTGTCTCTTGTGTGCGGCGTGCGACGTGCGTTGTATTGCTTGCTCAATTGCTTGCTTGCTTGCTTTCTGTCTTTCGAGAGCCGGTGCCCCTCCCATGCCTGCCCTGCCGATTTGACTGAGTGAACCTGTCCAGTGCCTTCTCCGCGCCGGCCCCGCTGCGAACCCTATGTGCCTTGCCTTGCCCTGCTTTCCCTTTGCGGAGCAAGAGTGGATGATGACTAGGGTACAGAAAATTAACATGGGCAGGAGTCCCCATCACAATCGCGGCAAGGTGGTGGCTGGGAGGTGGGCGCTGCAACTTCCGAATTGGTCCTTTGGAGCAACAAGTAAATGGTGGACACCGCGGCAGGAAGAACCATGGACGGTTGATGGGAAAGAACGCCGAATTCACGGATATAATGTCCTTACGGAGTACCTCACTTTCCTTTCCAATACCTTATCTAAGAAGGCAGTTGCGGTCCAAATATCTCTTGCTGATAGTTCGGAGATCACTGTCATACTCATGACCTTCCAATTTGTCAAATTGCGTAACATGCGACAGCGGCCACTTCCTGTTTTTTGTTAGACATGTTGCTATCGTGATCTGACTGTAAGATGCATTAGAATTGTAGTAAGTAGTTACGTAAGACATTGTGTACATTCGCACTTTGCATGCGTCGGGCAAGATGCATGGATATGGTACTGGTGTCGAGCTCAGAATGGCATCCTCGGGTTCCATACCTTTCCTTTCTTCTTGAAAGGTTTCTGAGGAAGGAAGGGCAACCTACCTAAGAACTCCTAAAATCTTTGAGTCTCTCTATCCGTATTGGCAAACACGCGAATCCACCTCCTTCTTCCCCGGCCCCAGATGTGATGAGATTCTTTGCCTGAGGTTCCTAGCGCGGCCGGTCTTGCCTACAATTTCGCTCAAGTTTCCATTCGTGACATGGTCGACCTTCAGGTCCGTCCAGCACAGGAAGGAATCGTCAACAATCCATGTTTCTCCCAGGTAGTACCACTGAATATACCTCCTGCCTGTCATGGGTGGGTAGGTTGAGGTATCACAAAAAAGTCCGCTATCGTAAGCAGGTGCCCGTCAATGTCTCGAGGATATCCTTGGTACATTGGTGCTGTCGCCATCTCCCCCAGATAAGACCCCTCAATTGCATCTCAGGCAAGAGCGCTGCTTACTAGAAGAGGACAGACTACTTTGATATCTACTTTGGAATACTGATACTCTGTACCAATACGTACTCCGTACTCGTACATACAGACATTCAAGTCCCAAGTTCCTTCAATTGGTACTTGCCAAGGGTAGTACCCCCTCTGCTGCTTCCTGATCCGAGAGCGGACTACCTTACGGGTGCAGACTGTGAGCAAAGTAAGGTAGTGACGTCCCGACAGCATTAGCATTCAGCCGGCCAGTTCATCAACCGCATTTCTTTTTCCTCATCGTTTCAGTGTCTCATGCCGCCGACCCCTCTCCAACCTATCGCACGCCTCCACGCTCTTCTGCTGATTGACTGGGCCTCACCTTGTCTCTTCGATTGCCCGTCACCGTCACCGTCACCGTCTCCGTGTCCTGAGCGGTCTAGGGTGCGCAACGCGCACAACTACGACAACGACAGCCAGAGTCGCCGGGCTTGTGCCAATTGCCCAAAAAAAAAATCGAACCAAGATACCTTCTTCTCCGCCACTTCGCTGCAAGATTGAGACGGCTGGGGTCCCTTCGCTCTTCAACATTCTGTCCTCATCAACCCGAGTTTCTCTACTCGGATATTTGCAGCGACCTGTGTACGGTTACCTTCCCCTGCAAGTAGCAAGGCAGGCATGCGTTACAGGGCTCAACTCAAATGAAGATCAGTAACCAGAGCTGCCAGGCACGTTGGCGAGCCTCACTCAATGTCTTCCCGAGCTTCCCGGGGAATGCACTCGGGGCCACCCGTTGCACAAATGCATCATGTTTTTACACAACAAAGATGAGCTGTGGTCTCAGTCTGCTTCACCCTACACAGTAGACAGATAAATTGGAATGCTGGAGTACCGTTGTTCGAGACATCTGCGGACGCCTTCAACTGGATCAACCTCGAACCGCTTGCCCTTCCCAGCGTGGGCCGGTTTGTCTTTGGCTCCCGTCCTCTAGGTTGCCCTCATACTTTTTTCTGGCGCATCCGGACCCTAGAATCCCGTCATGGCCAAACCCAGGCGAGCGGACTACCCTCAACCCTGCTGGAGCCCCGGGTGCGTGTACGGAGACACTTGTTCCCTCCAAAGCTCCGGTGCCGGGTCGCTCCCAACCACCTCGAGAAATCATCGGCATCACGGACCACATCAGTCGTCTACTTTGTACGGATACCTGCCACCTTGCTCATCCTACCTGGCGCTGGCAAACTTAACCCTGCTCCGAATACTCAGGCCCTAGCTAGTTCTCACGGATCTCCGTTGCGCCCGAGCTTCTTATCCATCCCTCCCCCAGTACCTCATAAGAGCGGCAAGCTGGTTGCAAATGCCGGCTTAGCCTTCGGCCGGCGAGACATTGTCGTAAGGATCAGAAAACACGCACCACTGGTCGACTTGCGAACGGCCGCCGACAATAACCAACGGCTGCCAAGACTGGAAAAAGAAACACCGTCAAGCCCGCCTATCCCTCCGGTTCCACTCGTCACGCAAGGTCCGAAAGGTCGAGACTCCTGGCGCCTAGCCAAGCTCAGCCAAACCCCTTTGGTAGGCGCGGCTAGGTGACAGTCATAGACCGGCTTTTCAAACAGGGTGGTTTATACAGAGTACGCCTTTCGCAACTCTCATGGCTTTGGGTCTCATTATTCCGATGACGCCTCTGAGCTTGCTTTCTTTTGTCCAAGCCATCCATTTCATTACGCGCAGTCGGGCTTGCACACCACCTCGTTCGCGCCGTCACTTATGGGAATAGCAGACCTACTCACGAAATGACTTCACAATCTCTTTCACTACCCCCGTCCTCTTGTACGGCAGCGTCAGTAATGCCCAGAGAGATCAAATCCTACGGCGTGGGTTTCTCTCATGAAGGCCCACAATTCTGCGCTTGTCTGTGGCATGTCGAAGCTACCAGCCGAGACGGATTTTCAAGTGAGCAACTACGCAAAACGCGCGTCGTTTCTTGGGAATTGCAGCATTGTAAGGTTTGGAGCCAGACATACAGTGGCTTGTGGCGCTCCTGCCTCGTGCTGTATCGGGAAGAGTCGATTCTCTTTCCTGCCACATCCAAGACGACTGTGGCTGGGGACAATGCACGGCGACGATACTGAACCGCAACGTAATATGGATCGCAAAGTGACTGAGCGGCGTCAAGTGAACAGTAGTTCCGAGCCGCATGACTCTCATTATTGAAGCAAGGTGCCAATGGATCAGCTTTCTCCAATCCGGCGACCGATTGCGACGGCGCGGCGGATTGACTGCTCGTCCTGCCTTGAGGCAAATGTTCCGATGGGCCATTCTGCCATGCAAGATTCCTGCAGATGAGGAAACTTTGGACCCGGTAAAGACCTCTGTGTGCTGCCCGAAGTTCTTTCGATCTTCTTGTCCTGCCACGCCCGCCTACAGCAAGCAGACTCGTATGCTTGGCTTGGAAACCTCCATGGTCGTTCTCTCAAAGCAACGCTGGCGGGGTTAGTGATCCATGACAACTTTGACGACACGCTGGTTGATGTTCAGGCCTACAAAGTTCCTGCCCAGCTTCCTGCAGTGGAAGAAGGACGAGACCTCTCGGGATGCAGTTAAAGGCTTTCTACCGGCCGCGTACGGATTGAACACACGCAAAGTATCTCGACTACTCCTAGGCGTCACGGTCCCATGAATCAAGGATGTGTCACTCTATCCAAAAGTGGTCGAGGACCAGATCCTTTACGTCTGCAAGGATGAGCTTCTCCCAACGCGATTGACGTGCGTATCTGAGTTCCAATGATGAAGATCAACGACAGAGCCAGCCCAGATCTCTAACATAGGTGGACGACAAGGTGGAGGTCGTTCATCCTCGTGGCTGCATGTCGGGCAATGCATGCAGCTGCGTCAACGTGGGTGGTATGCTAGACGGTCGACTCTCTTCTAGGTTCCCGCAGCAGGGGCCCCCCTAGGGCTTTGCCTAGCCTACAAGACTGCTAGGAAAAGTCGACACTTCAGATACAATATACCTCTGCGTTGCGGTCCGACTTCGGTGCGACTTTGAGATTCGACGAAAGTACGGATACGGGTACAAGACATATATGGGTCATGGAGCGACCAGCTTCGAGGCTCTCTCTTTACCAAGGGCATTCCGAAAGACGAACATCTTCTTTCGAAGGAGACACGATGAGAAACGACAAGCTCAGTCACGAGGGCACGCAACCACATAGCAATGCCAATGGGACAGGCCGGTGCGGGGCATGTCGTATTAGGAGGGACGGTGGATGTGTATTCCGGCGTTGCTTCTAGCCCGGTGTGATGCAGAAGCTTGTGGGGGCATGTGCAATCCAATGCAAGATTCCGTCCTGTACGCTGCGGCCCGTACATGAGGTACCTACCGACACTCTTTACAGGGTCACTACCACCAAGTCGCCTTCGCCAGCGGCGCCATGATTCTCTTCCTTGTATCCGAAGGCGTACCTATACGGATTTGAGGCGGTTCCTCGTGGTGAGCTCGACTCGCAGCTGTGCACCACAGGTAGCCGTTATTTGGGGCTTACCATGGATTTGGTCCTAACTTCACCTCGCAAACCCAGTCACGAGTGCTGCTCCTTGCCTCTGGCCCCTGGCTCGTGATCACCGCCCTGCTCCAAAAGGCATCAATAATACAGAGACTTCGTGGCCGTACACTGCGGATACATGTTGATCAGTCCGGTCCGTTGCGAGGAAATAAGCAGCCAATCCCTGTCTCGTTTCGTTTCTGCTGCTATTCAAGCCGGTGATATTTTTGCCAACATATTAGCAGCTAAGCCAATGCGGGTATCGGTGGATGAGAAGCGCAGTCTATGACTAATCACCTACGTCGCCAAAAGGCCTTACTGACTTGCCGCAATACGTATTAATCAACGCACAGAAGCTATCGTCACTGTTGGTTATCAGCCTGGCTATGTGAGATGCCATGAGCGATTGTTCCACACATCGGGGGCTCGAGAGCGTGGCCGGTTGATCCCTCCTCGTTGGTCGGTTTCGTGGTCGATCCAGACTGGCTATCCGAAAGAAGTGTACACGCTCTCAAGAGAAGAGCAACGAGTCCCCGTTCAGAACAGGAAGACCTAGTACCTGAATCCTCAGTCATGTCTCACAGACAACATGGCCA